CACTTTTGGGTTAACCACTTTTTGGAGCCAGAGAAGAGATGGAAGCTTATGAAAGTTGCCAGGCTGCTATAAAGACCAAATTTAATCATGCTGTACATGAAAGCACATTATAAATAGAAAGTGAATATAGGATTAACATTGGATCCAACAACTCCACTCCTGCATATACACTCAAAATAATTGAAAGCAGGGGTTCCAAAAGATGCTTCTATACCATTTTCATAGCAGCATTATTCACAGTGGCAAAAAAAGTGGAAAAGACCTACATGTCCATTGACACATAAATGAATAAACAAAATGTGTTATACCCATTCAATTGATATAACCTTAAAACGGAAGGAAATTCCGACAAATCCTAAAACATGAATGAACCTTGAAATGAGCCAAGTGAAACAGGCTGGACACAAAAATACAAATACTCTATGATTCTACTTATATAAGGTATCCAGAACAGTAAATTCATATGAACAGAAAATACAATGGTGATTGCAAAGGACAGGGATGGGAACTTAGCATTTATGGATTAAGTATAGAACTTTAATTTTGGCTGATGAAATTCTGGAGATGGGTGGCAGTGATGATTGCACAAAAATATGAATGGTTGTCAACTGAACTGTTTACTTAAAAGTGGCTAAAATGATAATTTTATGTACATTGTAATTAAAAAGTGAAATGTTTCAAAAGTCCCTAAGATGCCTAGATGTATCCTTTGAGTTATGGTTTTGTTTTTAGTGGGGGGTGGTGGGGAGGGGACACTGAGGAAAGACACTTGGCCATATACCAAAGACTACACAGTTTGAGAGGCATACTTTTGAGTACCCCCTTCAACGTACTGATTTATTTTCCAGTGTCCTCAGGAGCTAAGGCAATGCTGGGTAGTGAGGAAGGGCTGAACTTGAGGGAGAGCAAGGGTTAAACAGGCAAAGTATTCTAAACAAAGAGGGTTACATAGGCAAGACCTTGAAAGAATGTCGATACTTGGGATTCTAGAACATTCCCGAGTAGTTCAGATCTCCCCAGGATGGGGCACATGGCACCATGTCACTCTCCTTTCTGGTACTTGTCATAATAGGAAGAATACATTTGCTTATACAATTGTATGACTAAAAAATCTGGCTCCCTCCCCTCCCCCATGTTGTTCTCATTTCCAGTATTAAACATTAAACTTGGAATGCATGTGTGTTGACTACAGTGAGTGTATCATGGTCATTACCTTAGGATTTGAAGAAAAAGAGTAACATCAGGTCAGAACCCAAATGTCAGAGTCAATCTGCACAAATTTTTGTAAAGTTAAAATAATTCCATTATCTTTGATTTAATAATCTCATCCCTAAAATTCTTCTTAATAATCGAAAATTTTCGTGCCAAAGCTATTATAACCATAGTGTTGTTTATAATAGCTACATAATGTGAAATACTAAGTAGCTTAGTAAGCAGAATGTTATATAACTACAGAAATAACTATGAATGTCATGGAGAAAAGTATGAAAGATTTATGTTGCGCTGAATTTTTACAAAGTAAACTAGCATGCCCTATATATTATAAGTGTATCTATGCATGGACCATACTGGCACTCTAATAATATATGCATATTGACAAAAATCAGAAGCAGGTATCCAAGTGGACACAGTTAACTTCAGAATGGTGGGTTTATGGGAGTTTTCAGAATGGTGGGTTTATGGGAGTTTTTCCTCTACAAAAAATTCAATATATGTAGTCTTCACTTTTCTCCTGTTGTTGACACAAATTTCTCTTTCATTACTAAATTTCCTGATAAAAGATGACTCCATGTCTCTCCTGATTATTTTCTCCAAGGACCTAGTGTCCCTAATTCATAGCCAAAGTTAAAGGTTTCGGCTCTATAAGCTCCTTACCTCCCAAAAGCAAGATTTAGTATAAACCTGCCAGAGCACACCTGAGCAATTTTTTACTAGTTCTCCACCCCTCTGAGCCACACTACCTCACCCATAAAATGCAAGGATGTACTACACCCCAATAACCCTTCTAAATTTGACTAAGTATCTAAAATTCTCTAAGTTGCCCACATGCTCTTCACATTGTATACTGTATGCATTTCTTCTTCAACGTATGTTGAGGGTCTGACCTTTAATCTATGTGTAAATAAATCTAGTCACAGATAGAAAAATGTACACATAAAATATGTGCCAAATAATATCCAAGTTCCTGCTGAAAGCACTCTAGAAAAGTCCACGATTTTTCTGACTTAAACTGTGGTTTCTCTCCCTCCCAGCTAGCTTTAGCGTTCTGACAAAATCTGCTCTATCTCCTGCTTAGCCTCTTCCTTAAGAAGGGACTTTGGAATCAGCTTATTCTTTCCTACCAAAATTTGCCTAATTTGCAAATAATTAAGTAGGATTATCACACATTGGTAATATAAGAGCTATTTTAGAATCTAATTCTTTAGATTGAATTTAAAGAAATCATTTCCTAAAGCACTTACCTGACCTCCAGGGCTGCAGGCTGCACCCAGGTGTTGTGTAAGCCAGGAATCAAGAGCAAACTAAATAAAATCACTGCTTCCTGTCCTACAATTCCCTAGTGGATGTGTCTGCAAAACAGCAGGAAGGGGAGGGTACAGAGTAAGGCACAAGATGTCTTGGAAGAACTTCAAAAATTGCAGCAACAGTTGAATCAGGTAGCATCTTTTCCACCTCCACTTTGTTTAGAAAATCTAACTACCTGCCCCCACCCGCATTCTTTTAATAAAAAAAGAGAGTGAGGCACACATTCAAGTGAGGTTAGGAGGAAGGAATCCCATGGCAGTTTTTATTTCTTTAAATCGATCTGCCACTCCCAGGTGATCTTAGGTCAGTTATGGGGCAACAGGAAAAAACTGAAGATTAATAGAGCAGATTCAGATTCCAGATCATTAGAACTCTAATCACTTAACTATTCAATAGTTAACTCAAATTTTTGTGGAGTTCATTTTAAGCACTTATGTGCATAAGGATCTAATACCCATTCTCTCTCTCTCTCTCTCACACACTCACACCAAAGAAAATGCCATGAGGTTCTGTTTTCAATGCCATATTATTACAAACTTAGAACTTTTCCCTGTGTCTGGTAATACTTATCTGGAACTTAAGAATAACATTAAGAGGACAAACATACCTTATACTGTTTCCCAGAAACACCATGAATTAGAGAGTGGTCACAGGGACAGTGGGTGAAGGGTAGTTCCACAGATGTAACAGTCCCTTGCTTTTGCAATGCCTGTTTCCTCAGTTTCCATACCAACATCACAGAATTAACTAGATCACATAGATGAAGCTGGCTTCTCTTGCCTATTCACGACCCTGACCTTACCTTTAGATCCCTAAACCTACCCAGAAAGTCATCTCTTAGCATTTGCAGTTAGTAAGTTTTTCCTTCTGGTTTTGCTGTCCCTTTCTAGCCATTTCATCTTCATCCCTTCTTCCACACCCCAGGCTTCTTCCCCCTTTCCATCCCCAACCTGTTTATTCTTTGGAGGTGTTCTCCAACCAACCTTTTCCTGTAGCAGCCTCCTCTCAGCCCATTCTGTGGGTTAGCTATGCTCCAAGTGGCCTTCTTAAGTCTGTTTCAAGTCCTGGCCTCTAACCCAAATTTCAGATGCGATTTCACTGCCCACTGGGTAGACCAGATCATCAATCTAAATATCAAAGTCCCACCCTACAAAGAATACTTTTCTATCCTGTGGCGACACTTGTACTCAACCGACTGGCAAAATTTGGAATCCTCCCCCAACATCTGGTTGACAACTGAGCCCTGCAGTTGTGGCTGAGCATCCTTCTCAGCCTCCCCTCCTTTCCTGCTATCTCTTCACTGGGCAGTTTGCCTCTTCTCATTTAAAATCCACCCATTATTTTTGTCACTGGAATGAGCACCAAGGAAAATTTGGCTGCTGCACTCCTTAAACTCTTCGTTGATAAACATGAAACCCTGGCACCTTATGGTTCACAGGTCCACTGAGATCCAGCTCCTGCTTCCGACTTCTTGAATCTCAGCAACACAGCCAGCCTGGCCAGCCTGGGCCTTCCTGCCCCTATGCCACAGGAAGAGACTTCATTCCCTTTAGTCCTATCAAGATGTGTATACACTCCCATTGTTTCACAGCTCACACTGAAATTTAATTAAAACATTAGGTGTTTGTCCTCTTTGAGCACACGCTCCTCTGCAGGATTCACACATTTCAACTGAGTCCAGTGCAGGGGGTAGGTGACTAACATGTCATCCCTCCACAATTCTTCTGCAACTTGTCATTGTGCTTGACTTCTACTTTCTTATGCATGGTACCATTTTGGGGCTGAGGAAGTCGCCCTTTGACTCGATACTCTCCCCACCCCCCAGCTAAACCCTTTCAGTCCAGCCCCAGCCAAGAGGGGTGTGGGGGGGGGGTGGGGGCGCTGTCAGTTTCGGAAGTAGATGAATGTTAAGAGTGGAAATTAGTTGCTTGGCAGCCTATAAAGGAACCTTTTCTGATTACAGTCACAACAATGGGCTATTTACTTACTGTTCATTAGAAAAGGAAATTCACATCAACCCTGCCCAAAAGCTACCCCAGGCCACTAGCAGAGTCCCTCTCCCTGGCAACAGGACAGTGGCCTTGAAAGTGAAGGTGTCTAAAGGTATGGTCTCTTCATTTACCTTCCATCATCAGTAAAAGTTTTCCTACAAAATAGGACTTCAAACTTAAAGGAGTTTGGTTTTATCATTCTTGCTTAGTGACTATTCTCAAGTTAAGTGGCCCCTGCTTCCCCCAAGCCTACTTTCTCCCACACCTAATTCAGTGGTTTTATCCACTAATGGAACAAATGGCATGGAAAAGAAGGTTATCAACAAGTAGGCAGGAAATGAATTGTAATTCCAGACACTCTCCAGGCCAACGCTCCCATTAAAGAAAAAAAAATCTTATTTTACCATTCAGATGCATTCGTAGAACCAGTTTGGCAAATTAATTTTAATATACAGATACAAAACAACAAATATAAATTCACAGCATTTACAAGAAAAATTTCAAATAACATTGCAATAATTTTTTTTAACAAAAACTTCATTCAAAAAAACACATATCAAGTTACAGCAATCTTGTCCAACACAGGCGGTCAGCAGCTCATTCATCAGTTTGGAAGCTGTCACTTGACTTAAAGCAGGTAACACCATCTTGATGTTGATGCATTTAAGGAAAAGGTTACCAATAGCCTCGCAAGGTAGGACGTTAAACATAATTGATGTTAACACTTCCAAAAAAACTATTATAGAATCAAAGTATCTGCTAAATACAATGGTTGATGCTAAAGATGATAACGTTACCTGAAGTGTTTTGTAACTAAGTATTATTTTACTAGTTTGGAGGTCAAAAACAAAGGTTTCTTTCTCCAGATTCACTTCAGCTCCATGCCCCCCACCCAAGGTGAGATGATTTTTACTTACATTTTTCAAAACGGTTCGAATTTCATTCACCCTGAGGTCAATAGCATCAACCAAATGAAATTTTAGCAAGGAGAAGAGCTTGTTGGCTAACTCTATTTTAGGGACCAGTGTTTTTGAGCAGTTTGACTTAATTTGTGTCCAGCATCACTGGCCTGTGAGGCACCGAGATATTTATCCACATGTGCTGGCACTGTCCTGTGAGGGAGACATCTGTTTCTGTTGATTCGTACTCGGGCATATCAACTATTTGGGATTGTAGAATTTTTCAGTATAATATGCCGGATCATGACTCTTACAAAAGATTTCCATTGTGGACCATATTTTTGAATTAAACAAACTTTGGCTTTGTGTCTAGATAATAGCAACTTAGAATTGAGAGACTTTATGAATTGGCATGGAATTTGTCCTGGTCTGGTTTAGTGATTAAAAAGGGACAACAATATTCAGAAATAGCATGGAGGTTGGGAGTGTAATGCTTTCAGTTACAAGATCAGATATACTAGGATAAAGTTCAGATGTGCAAAAAACACAGTATGCTGACGGTAGCCCAGTAAAAGTCATAGTAAAATGCATTCTCTTTATCTAGTCTGGAGGCCAAAAACAAAGGATACTTCTCCAGGATTTACAAATACTCTCAAATACTTATAAAACCTACTACAAACTTGTCATAAGATTTCGGTGTAATCAAAATTGACAAGGTTGTTTTGACACCAGACCATTTCTAACAATGAACAGAACTGAATGAACAAATTGGGCAAATTCTGAAGCACAAATGATAGAATAAATGAAATGCATCCATATGTTATGTCATTTTGTGGGGGGGGGCAGTCAAATTACACAATGTAAGGTTAAAGAGAAAGTGAGATTCTCAATGAAACTATTCATACATGTTCCATACAGAAGCTCTGTTTCTCTCTCCTTTTTTCCCTTTGCAAGTGGAAAATGTGACTTTCATCAAGATGGAAGTTTGGCAAATCTAAAATTAGGGAACTGAGTCACCTATTCTTTAGAGAACATAGGCATTTGTTACTAAAACTCAAGTAAGGAGTAGAAAGAGATGGAAGCACATCCTCTCCTAAAACTATTTCATAGCTTTCAAAATGACCGGCCAGGCCCCACCCAGGGCAGACACCTGATGAAAAGGCCCTCACACCGAGCAGAGCTGACCAGGGCAGCCTGGACTTAGACATGCCTTGGGGTCCACAGTTTGTGCAATTCTGCTGGAAGCCCAGAGAGGGAGGGAGAGGCGGGCATGAGAAGTTAGAGCTTTGCTGGGGAAATCAGGACTGGTGACAGAGCTGCAGGCATTTCGTAAGTATTAGAAAATGGAAGTCTGAGTGGTTCTTTGCTTGAACTAAATTCTCACTGAAAATGTAATCCAAGCAAATGATTCTTTTTACTTTCTCACAGTAAGTAATTATTTTATAAATCAAAAAAAAAAAGACATGTTCAAAAGTGCAGTATATACATATACATATAACTCCTTAGTGCAGAGACTCTATAGTTATTGTGGGGCGGGGGGGGGGCATGTAAAGCATAATTAGTTTTCAAATATATATCATATCTTGTTAGTAAAAAGGTCAGTTATATAAATGCAACTGCACTTGAGATGTCTATGCATACACGCGCACAGGCACACCACACAGACACACACCCTCAGAGCTGTAGCACCTCCTGAGATGCTTCCTCACAGAAACAGCCACAACCCCAGGACACCTGGTATGAAGGTCCACAGGCAAGCCCTGGGTTTCAGCTACAGGGCTGCACACGTTTCCAGCAACACTGCCTGTAAATGAGCACAGCAAGGTGGAAGAGCTGGGTCACCAACAGGTAAGATTCTCAACAAATATACACAATGCTCTCAGGTCTGATTATGTCTCCTTGATGTATGTCATCACCTCCTTCAGGAACAGTTCTGGATATGAGGGGGGGGAGGGGGAGGTGGAGGGAAATAGTGGAACCACACACCGGAGACTCAGATTATACTTTTGTCTTTGACGTTACAAGTTTGTTTAGTCTCAGCACTGGCCTATTAGAAAAAGAACTTCGAGAGTCGCATACAAAAAAAGAGAGCTTTAAATAGAAAACCACAAGTTGTGTTATACAATAACCACTTCCAGTGCACTGTGTAAATTAAAATGCTCTCTCTCTCTTGTAAAGCCTGTCTTCTCTAGACATATTTAAAAGTTTTTTTCACCCAAAATTTACAATGCAGACAAAGATAAGAGGATTACTATCTACAAGTATTAGCCCACATGGCCTTCGTTAAAAAGGACTACCACCTCTGAGTCTATATATATTTAAGTTTCCTTTGTAACAAAACGAGTCTCCAGAAACCTGCTGACATGCTACTCATGGTACTCTTAGCACTACCGTTTTAGGTTTATGCAACACAGTTGGCTTCAAATTCTGGGCAAGGTGACTGCTTTGACCCTCATGCTTTCTTGGTCGAATGCATGTGCTGCTTAATTAGTGAGACATCAGAAACAACTTTTGGAAGAAGCGCAAGGATCTCTTGAAGAATGACTTTCGGTTGGTGAATTTGCATATCCTTTATCATAAAATTAAATGGCATAATATACTGCAAAAGGATACATATGGATACGATTTCTTGGGTTATGGTGTGCAGGTGGGTAAGATTTCTGCTTGTGGAGTTAGGTACCGCACACCCGCAGGTGAGTGAGTACCTCACTTCAGAAAGGTGAATCCAGATGGCAGCAGGATTTTTCACTCCCTGACTTGGAAACAGTCATATCTTTGAATGCTAAAGTGACGCGGCACTACAGACCAACTGCTGCATGATGAATTCACCCTCTAGCCTGTAGAGGGTGGAAGCTTGCAGGGCAAACCCTGCATGACCATTTGGCAACTGTTAGAGCATCCGAAGAAGGGACAGCTTGCAAGCTACCCAGAGGCAGAATTGTACCAAAGGTGGTGCACCATTCCCATCAAAATTAGATGCAAAAGTGACATTCTGCTAGAGCCCTTCCTTGGTAACAAAAAAATCTTAAGGTGCTGCATCTCGTGCTGCATCAGCTCAAGGCGCTCCATCATGGGCACTTGCGTCGACGCTCAGCATTCTCTCCACAGCACAGCACCGGTTCCCAGGTCTAGCCATCTTGGCCCAGCATGATGACAGGCCCACATGCATGATGGCCTCATCCAACCTCCTGGGTGGCAGCGAGGTCTCTGAAGACGGTCACTGAGCCCAGAAAGTTCTCAGCACTGGGTCCGATGTACTTTCCTTGCAGTTAGCAGTGAAGAAACAAAATGAATTCTCCCTGCAGCAGAAGTCCTCACTTCCATTTCATTTCTTGAAAGGGGTAAGCTTATTGAAGGTGTGCCAGAACAACGAAGGCTTCCTCTTGGGTTCTGCCAGGGCAAACACTTGCTGCTGGGGGACGCTGGTGGGCACGGTGACGTGGCGCTGGTGGAGCGGGTGCAAGCTCTGGTGCGGAGGGGCCACAGGGAATCCACTGTAGCCTGCAACGAGAGGTGAGAGAGGTGAAACATGAACTGGGGTCCTGTGATTTTCAAAAAGGACTCACATGTGCAGTTCTTAGCTCATTCTCAAGTGGGATAAATTTCATCAAGCAACTCCCTCTTAGAATACAAAGCCAATCTCAACAAAGTTTCTAAGAACCCAACACATTCTTAGAATATAATCCTTACTATTTCATTCCTGTTGGCCTAGACTATTTGTATAATCTGTATTGTGGAAAATCTGTATGTACATTGGACCCCTTGGTATCTGACCTAAGCACTAGCATTTTTAAATAGCAGCCCAGGCAATTTTAATATACCAGGAGGGTAGAAAATCCCTGCCCTAAATAAGTTAGAGTGTCTCTCTTTTTTTAAACTCATTGATTAATGTACAAAACTTCTAGATTTATTTTTGTCTTAATGAAAACAAAATGAAGCTTACAGCTGGCAAGCAGTTTGGGGACAGAAAATTCCTCCCTATCCCTGAGCCAAAAAAGATGCAAGAAACACTGGTTTGTCTCAGGTCCGTGAGCTGGTGGGCCAATGGATAATCCATCATTTTCTCAGAAGGGTGATGCAGAGAAGTTGTGGGCAGGGTAAGGAGCCCTGGAAATGCTCATAAAATTCAAAATTCATTTTCTAATCTCACATGCAGAAATACACAAATCCAGAAAACTATTAAAAACCAAATGCTGATTATTTTCAGCCATCCATTACTTTGGGTTAACCACTTTTGAGTTTCACCCAAATTTCTCTCTTTTGTTGACCATACAACTTTGGGTATTTTCCCCTGTTTTAACTTCAATACTGTTACATATTAAGACAAGACTTTCTCTAAAACTTACCTTTTGACTTTCCATGTCCCGCCTTTTGAGCATTCAACATGGCCAGTTTCTTCTGATTTTCTGAAATTTCCATTCCTGGGTTTAGAAAAAACATGTTATATATATTCAAAACAAGTGAAAACATTTTAGAGTAGAATTTCTACCACAGTTCAGATTAACAATGAGGTATTCAGCCTATTCTGAAACAAAGGCCCTTAATCTTCAAGGAATTTACACAGGTTAAAAAGATGGAGAAAGGAGAAGTAACAAGAAGGCTAAGAAAGTCATGTTGTAATTATGCTGCAAACCAGGCCATTTTAAAAGACAGAAAAGGGGTGTTGCTAAGGAACATATGAAAACAGTGCCTGCTGTAAATCCAGACATTGCCAGGTAAATGTGTCTATGATGCCACTCTTATTATAATAACACTAAAGAAGGGTGTCATGGGAAAGGAGGACAAAAAGTGTCACCGGGAATACTCACCTACCTGCTGTGAAAGCGGAGTTTTGATTCTACTTTGCACAGCAGTAATATCTGAGTAACAGGAACTGGGTTCTGTATGTTAACTTGCTAACTACATGTCTTGAACTACAGTAGCCCATAGACTGTAGAGTTCTTGGAGTGACACTGCATGTCTTGGGTGAATGCGTTAAACAAGAAGCTAGAGATGAGACAAGCCAGGGTCTTCCAGGCTGGGCATAAGGAGAGCTAAGGCAGCCACGCTAGAGCCACACGAGGGGGTAGCTTCTCCACACTACTGGAAGGAGATCTGGGCTCTCTGCTGCTCACTGTCCAGGTTACTCACCAGAGTTTACTCTCTACCCTTGCACACTCTGCAACTGGTCTTGGCTTCTCAATATCCATGGTTTCTATCCCTTAATGGGTCCTGGGGTCTTCTTTGGGCTCCATATACTGGTGCCTTGGATTCAACTGCTCCTCAACCCACATCAGTTTTTCTCACCTTCACATTCAGAATCCCCTAGACATGATGTAATTGATACTAGTCTGACACGCCACATCTGGGTTGTCTTACTTAGTGCAATACTTAATGGATTCAGGAGAGCACCAGCCAGTCATTCACCCCTGAGAACAGCTCTATGGAAGCACTGTACTGCAAAGGTATAAAAGCAGGGCCCTCCTTTCTGTGTTAATGGGGAGCAGAAATAAGTGTTTAGAATGTCCCTTGTAATATTCAGGTATATCTGAGGCGAAATGGGAATATACCAACTTAACAGATGATTTCAGGGCCTGTATTAGACAGTATTAGGCAGCAGGTAAAATCAGCATTTTATAGTTTTGTGATTTTGCACTTTGAATACTAAATAACAGATAATAAATGTCATCTGCAAATATCTGAAGAATTGTTGGTATGACAGAGATGAGACTTATTCAAAAGGGGCCTGAGAGTTGACAGTAGCACAGACATATGGAAGTTGTTGGAAATCAGTTTTCCTCTTGCTATGAAAGATGCTTCTTCTTGGCGTAAGGAATCACCTGTGAGTGGTGTGATTACTGGCTGAGATAATGGACAATGTCCACCTCTGGGACATTTCTGAGGTGATCCTGCTTCCGGCGGCAAGTTCACCTGACTGATAAATCCCCTCCTATTGAAATATATGATCCCAAGAGATCACTTGGGATGAGAGCAAAATCTGTGGCCAAGGCTGGAGCTGGTGACTGGTCACATTTGTTGATAAAGTACCTCCTGCTTCCATTCCAATTTTCCCACAGCAGAGGGGTGGGGACTGGGAAGGACTTCTCTGTCCTGTACCAGATACCCTTTAAGGCCTGGCACCTGTGCTTTGCACATATGAACAATGCACCTCCCCTACAGGGGGCCCACCGTCCCTGTGACGTCCTGACTTCTATTCTACAGTTTGCACTCAAAATCCCAAATATGCCTGGGAAACACTGGACCTTGGGCTTACAACAATGGGTGCTATCATCTAGGTGCCCGGTCGGGCAGCTTCAGTCTTATAGGGAGGTAAACAGAAGCTCAACACTGACTATGAAGATACACTACCTCATTTGAAGGAAAGAGTGCATGGGCCTTTTGCTTTATCAAAGAGATGGGGAAGTGCACATGGAGAGACCTTAGCCCTGAATCACCTGTGGCAGCAAGGGCAGTGTAAAGGGCTTTCAAAGCACCAATGGGAGAAAAAAAGGAATAAAGATGAAATAAGAAATACAGGTATAGTTGAGAGGAAGCCCACAGACCACCTGAAACTTCTCACTGCACAGGTAAGGACCACCAGACTACGGTTCAGTGCTAGGCCATGGTGTAAGAGTAGGGAAGTGCCCGATGCTTCAATTTCCTTATGTATGTATTGTCCATAACAGTATCCACATCAAGGGATGGAATAAGACAAATTCGGTATATTTGCCACAGGGCATCTGGCAGGAAGTGAAAGCAAGAAATGAGTATTATTGCTTGGAATAACTGCATCTGTCATGTTCTGCCCTGGAATCAAGTTTAGAAGCATTCTCTCTGGTAAATCCTTTTTCTTTTCCCCAGGGAGACAGTTAACTCTGTGGGAACAGGCTTGGGGAGAGGTAGCCTGCAAGGCTGAAGAATGAGCTGGGAGGCAGAGGGAAGCGACTCTACAGCTCCCAGAGCTGCTCACCCATTTCCTGGTCCTCCTGCACCCTCTTCCTCTCATCCCCACAGGCCTGCAGCCACCGCGCCTTGTCTTCCTGCTTTTTGGCACAAAACAGATGAACCTCATCGGTGGTCTTGCTTATGAGCTTGAATGCATTCTTCACATTGAGGTTCCAGTCCTTGTCGCGTCCATCCTCCAGGTCCACAAGCTCCATCTGGTCCATGTCTGTGCGGCCCCTGTAATACAGCATGTCCCGACGCAGCAGGTCCTTCTTGCAGGACACCAGCTGGTGGTCGAACAGGAAGAAGGTCCGCTGCTGGCTCTTGCCTTGCTTAGTGATCCTGGTCAGTTCTCCAGAATGGATCAATTCTGAACTTCGATCTAAAATATCCATCCCCTAGAAGGACAAAAACACAATTTTCAGATCGCCCCATTCTGATTCCTTTAGAAAGGGGGTCCAGCATCATTTTGGGTGTTCCCGTTACATGAGGCCCATTCATGGAGAGGCAGGACCAATCAGTCTCCTTGTGCATGGGTTTTCTTTTTTTCTATTCAATGGGGAAAATATTACAGTCCCTCGATTTTATTTAAGGTGTCTTCCTTATCAGAGAGGTATAGTGAAAAGCATGCAAGATTAATAGAATCCAATTGAGAGCTGAAATGGCAGCTGGCCAAGACTGGGCAGCAGAAAATGAGGAAACAGAGAGGGGGCATTCTGTGAAGAGGAATGGAACGTTACAGACACTTCAGCTTTTGAATTAATTATATAGCAGTTACTTGGAGTATTAACTGTTAGGGTCATGGCAACAAAGGGCCAGATGGCAAATACACACCAAGAACAAGGTGGCCTTCTAACAATAAAATATTCCTAAATGTTGGAGCCCAAAAGGAGAAGGAAAATCTACTTTCACAATATTTAGGTGTAGTCTGACCAATGTGACTTTATGGTATCTGGTATGACACTGGCCTTTTTAACCTGTAAGATTTTATTCTCTGTTAGTCCTAGACACATAGAACAATTGTTGGAGAGAAAAGATCTTGGCTCCAAAATAATTCTGTTCGTGTGCCCAGAGCAATTCCATGCCCTAGATTCTGCACTTTATAAATAAGAAACGCTCATCTCTGAGGCCTATGCAGGCTCCAAAAATCCATAAAAGTTTTGAAACAGAAACATTTTTCAACTTTCACCATTATAACCTACTTTAGTTAAAAATAGAACTTCTTTACCCACATTTTTTTTGGTATGTCTTTTCTTAAAAAAAGATTTATTTATTTATGTATACCGAACTGGGGTACAGGCCAGAGGTGCAGGTGTGGTGAGAGAATCTACCAGAGACAGAGTGGAGAGCAGAAGTGACAGACTGACAAAGTACCCTGCTGAGGGAAGCAGCAGGGGAGACAGGAGAGGTCTGCCGTGCCACATGGGCCACCTCCCTGGCCAGGGATCTCCCTCAGGTCTGAGACGGCTGGAGTAGCTTTAACCTGTTGCACCACCAGCGAGGGCCACCTAAACTTTTTTAATCCTTTGGGAGAGTGAGTTTTGACCAAGTAGTGTGATGTAATATGAAGGCTGCTTGGTTTAAAAGCAACCCGAGCAGCTAATTTTTCTTAGTAACAGCCACGTAGTATATGAGTTACCTGCATGTGTACCAGGCTGGCTGCCTGGCATTGAATCTGGCTTGGCCACTTCCAAGCTGTGTCACCTAGGACAAGTCATTAGACCTTTCTGTGCTCTAGGTTCCCCATCTGTTAAATGTAGGTACTAACAGTTCCTACTTCATAGGAGCACTGGAAGTATTAAGTGAGTTTATAAATGTAAATGGCTTAGACCAATATGAGGCATAATACAGGCATGAGCTGTCATTATTTTTAGATGTATATGTGAGTGTATGTGCATGTTCAAGACTATCATTACAAGTCCTATCAAGCACAGTATTTGCGTTGTCTTATTTAATACAACAGCTTTAGGAGGAGAGATAACCGTTTTTTTCCATGATAGACAGAGATAAAAAATAAATAAAAACAATCTCGCCTAAGTTATACAGATTCAAATGCAGGCAGTGATATGCTTCTACAATAACATGCTCTGTATTTTCATTGCTTTCTAGCTGGTGTTAGGGAGTTTACTTTCTAGCATTAGAAACAGTGTCTAGGTAATAAATAACAGCTTATTTCTTGATGCAGATGGACTAAGATTAAATCTAACAATATGCCTCAAAAATATACACCATTATGATGGCACACGGGTGATTTGGTGATGGGAAGCCCACGGGGATTACAACTGAGATGGAAAAAAAAAAGGCACAAAATGATGTCAAAATAAACTATTACACTATTTAAAAAATTAAAGAAAAAAAACCCCACCATTAAAGCTAAGAGTATAATGTATCAACCATGGACACTGGAGTATATCATCCAACTGTACCAGAGGTATAGGCTGAGTGAAAGAGACACTGGGCCACACACAGGGCGGAGGGGACGGGTCCCCACTTACCTCCCAGCCCACAATGGACACTTGCCACCGCGCAATCTTGTCTATGCTTTCCAGCTTGCGTTTGCGCTCGTTGATCAAACAGGCTACATTCTTCATGGCTTCGTATGCTGCCTTTATGTTGTTGTAATCACTGCAAAGTATGAGGTTAATTTTAACCATATAACATACAACTTGAAGATGGAGTGTAACAAAAGGATATGTAGGATACGTTCCATCCTGATTTGTATCCTGACAGTCTAGACAAAGTGATATTTAAATAATAGCCATTGTTGCCATTGTCTTGTTCCTCTATGAATAGACTATAGTCTGTGGAGCTGGATGAATGCAGCAAAGAATTCTTTGGAACAAGACTGTTTTCCTTCATTTCCCAGAAAACACAATGAATGAAAATAAATGCCACAAGAAATAAGTTTCAGTCATAGTGCCAATGGATTATTTTCATTAATAATGAGCATATCTTTAATTCTCATATAAGCTAGTTTGGGTTTATAAAGTACTTTAATAATCACTAACCATTTTCAGGAGTAATTATATGCTCTGAGTCCCATTTTACATTGTAAGAGGGCACCAGAGGACACAAGCCACATCAGCCTGACATGGTGCATTACATAAATGCTAATGCAATTACTTCATCAACACATCCTCATATCTGGAACTTTCGATATGTTACAGTCAGCAACCTCCTCTTCCCAGTACAGCTAAAGGTATTGGGAAACAGAAACTATACTTTAGATCTACACAGAGGCTAGAACAGAGCATGTCTGTATCAGAAAGCTTGAAGTTGTGAGTTTTGTTCAGTATTAATAATTTGGAGACATGTAAACAAATCCTTTACTCATGGAACTTTTATTTCTTCACTTACAGCACTTTCCTGTGCCTTATTGGACACAGCCTTTGGATCTCAGTGGGACTGAATCAACAGTCCTCTTGCAGGTCAGAAAATGCAAGCAGATTCTACTGTCTGTTTATCAAACACAATGACACGCAGCTTCTGGGAAGCCCATGAGAATTTCCCCACAAGGCAGACCCTCTGTTCTCAGAGACACAAATTCATACTTAGAAGCAGAGCAGACAGGAAGAACAAATATGATAATATGATATGGGGCTGTTGCCAAAATAGTGGGTGCAATCCCCGTTACTCCAGCAATGAAGTGTGTTTTTGTAGTTTCAGAAAGAATCAATATGCTTTTTTTTCTTTTCTTTAATTTCATTTGTTCTCTCTGAGGCAAGGAATCTAAGGCAAGGAAATGGGCTTTTTGTCACTTCCGTGCAAATGTTCTATTTTTTGAAATTGGCATTAAAAGAAAAAATTCAACTGGTGTTGGATGCATGGTTTCCAGGAAAGCTTCCTTTTCTTGGAATGGACTCACATGCCCACTCACACTTTTTCAAGATATCTTTGATTCTTAATCATCTTATTTGTTTTCTCTGCTTCCTTATCATGATGCTTTTTTATGTTTTTTAAAATAGTTCTTCAACTTTATGGTAATTTTCTGATTTTATTCATTAGAAAAAAATCTTTTCCTCTTACCTACTTCCTTATTTCTCTAATCATAATTCCTTAAACTAATACTTCAACCCAAGGATTACAGTTCAGCAAACTTGCTCTTTTTCTCTTTCTATCTTCTACTTGTAGAAGGTGCCCTTTTCAAACTCTGTCTCTTCACAGAATTCTAGAAGAACAAAAGAATGAAATGCCCTCTTGCCGCCGCCCCCCCCAAACCACCCCACAGGGTCAGACACAACCATGGATAATTTAACTGCTCTCAAGGCAACTGTTAACTATTAAAACCCAGAACTACTGTGGTTTGCCACAGCAAATCTCCCGCTTTCAGGAGACTCCTTCAAGACCGTTCTTTCTGTCAGGGCTGCAGGTATAGTGTCCTGCATGTCACGGATTCAAATCTAAAAACCAGAAAGCTTTATCCTAAAAACTTGCTTGTTTATAGTTATGTCTCCACTGGTGTCCAGAGGAGCTGGTGAAAACATATGAAATGAGCCAGTCATGGGCCATCTAATGGAGCACACAGCTTGTCCTGCCAGTGACATTTCCCACTTGAGGAAGGGGTGGTCCCACTCAATACTGAGTGGGTGGTCACAGGGGAAACGGAGGGTGCAGGCTCTTCTGCCTCCCATCACTAGCCCTCGGTCACCACCTGTGCTCCCTCTTTCCTCCCAGGTTTCATTGCCCACACATGATGCGGTGTTGGTGCAAGAGGCACTTGGGAGCGAGCATGGAGCACACGCATATAAAAGGATACAGACACTTGGACCATGGAGTGAGGGACAAGAGAGGCTTCTCAGGGCTGGCCTTCGAGGTGTTGCCCTGAGGAGGGGGGTGAATGAGCAACAAGACACAGGACAGAGAGAGACGGCCACAGAGAAGAGAGCAAGTGTATGGCCATTCAGGGGAGGCTGGGAGGCTGTTGCTTGGCTGTCTCCTGGCCCCCCTGCCTGCCTCACTGCCTGGTCTGCCTGTGTCTGTCTGTGTCTAGTTCCCTACTTCAGCATTAAAGGCCTGTAAGATCTACTGAGGGCTCCAGGATTCTTTTACCCATCTGCCCAAATCAACCGTGAATCTGCTCGGTCTGGGATGGCTGCATTACAGTGTCTATCTTACATATAACCACACATTATAGTTTCTTCGGTCTGAGTAGGAAACAATGAGCTGCTATTAAGGCAGCAATGGATAAATTCTTGGCTCCCCCGTGAGAGTTTAGGCACAGAGTCAGCCTCTCAGCGTGAGGATAATATTGACAGGAAACCCTGCTCAAAGTGAGAGGGAATGAGCTGAAAAAGGATAGTGGAGACAGAAGGAGCTACCAGGCTGGGTAAGAAAGGGCTCCAAGCAGCACCTTTCAGTGAGACGCACCGTCCAACGTGCCCTCTGCCTACGACTCCAGGCCCTGGATTCCTGTGTCTATTACAGCTCAAACTTGGGGACAGCTCACCCCGTCTACAGAGTAGCTTTTGTTGCAGTAAGTACCGCTCTCATGGTGAGCTGCTGTGAAACAACTTGAGACTGGAAGGAAAATATTTCTGAAACCACCAGCCTATTCTAAAAACTGCTCATGAGACAAAGAATTATTATTTTTTACTATCTCTAAAAATGGATGTTCTAGGGCCCCTTCAAAGCTCTGATTTAAATCACCACACAATATGAAAACTTCTTCCCTCTAGCCACCTGGTAGGCTCAGACTCACAACTAAGCCCGCTCCCACTGCCGCACCACTGGCGAGCCAGCCAGAAGGCCTCAAGGGGCAGCGAGGGATGGGCGGGACTTGGGCTCTGCGGGCCACTCTCACCTGTGCTCCTGCGTGGTGTACTTGAGCAGCTCAGCCAGCTGCAGTGGGTATTTACAGATCTTCTGCACTGGCGTGAGCAGGAAACCATCAATGGCGATGTCAATCATTTGCTGGAGCAGCCGACAGGCTTCAAAGAAATGTCGGTACCGGCCCTGCTTCATTAGGTTGGCCAGCTCTGCGCAGGCGCCCGGGTGGTTGTTACAGTACTCGGAGTAGATCGCAAAGCCCTCTTGCTGGAAAGGGGAAAGCATCAACTTGTCAGGCTGTGGGGTGGCTTGAGCCGTAGCATGGACAGACTCCACCCATCCCAATCTAAGGGGTCGTTTCTGGAAAGATGTGTGAGCTGGTACATGGCACCGAGTTGTTCTGCAATGACTTATGTGCCTGAACTGAACACAGGCCCATACTCCTTTGTAGGAAAGGGCCACCTGAAGACTCTCCAGGGAGTGTTTCTGGGGTTGTCTGTTGCAGGTGGATTGCTCTTGGACTTAGTGTGCTGGTCCCATTCACAGTGACCTTGCTCGTGCTCTGTGAGGGCTCCTCCACCGGAGAACACTGCCCTCTCCCCAGCTCTGTTTTAAGAGAAGGGGACAGTGCTGATATGACACCTCCCTGTCATCCTCCCTATCTTCTTTACTTCCACTGATAAAATTCTCACCATGGCCAAGAAAGAAAGTTGAGAGTTGCCTCCCCCTCCTCACCACAATGTGCCTCAACGTCCTACCACCTGGCTGCCAGGCTGGTCACTAACCCCAACTGCAGGCCTTTCTCTCACCCAGGTTGCGGCTGTCCTGCCAGCTCGTCCATGAGGCCAGCCTGTTCATGGACTCACGGCAGCCCTCTCCCAGCCTCTGCCTCCCTTTTCCCTTAGGCTAGCACACAGCCTTTCAAGGTCGAGCCCCGGGCCCTCTGCTCCTCACCGTGAACATGTCCTCCCTGCAGCCTACCCAGAGCTACTCCACAGCTGAGATTTGGTGGTATTCAGAGTTAAATGCGTCTGTGAGAAAACTCCTATTTCCCAGGAAAAGATTTTCTTACTGGACCTTTCTTTGAGAATCACAACCCTGCAGGTGGGTTGCCTGGTTTTGCTTTGTTCCTTATAACCGGTCTTAACCATTTGACCTCAAAGACCCCATTTTAATAAATTCCAGTCTACACGTCCACTATTGTGACACATCCCTGCCCTCCCTCAAAACAGCAATTGCACACCTCCGAGCCTCAGCTGACCTCTCCTGCTCTCCACAACAAGAACCTCCATCCTGAGGCTGCCTTCGTCATTCCATGCCCTCAACTTAGTTGACTTCCAAGGTTTCTCGCTCCTCTATCTGCCTAGCAGACCCAGAGCACTCCTTGGACCAACCTTCCCACTTTTATTTATAGTACAACTTCACTTAGCTACTTACAATCAACCCCACCTGCTTTGCCAGCTCTAAATAAAGTTACTGGGCCCTAGACCCAGCAGGCGCTACCTGTGGAGGTGGTGTGGCTGTGACGGATTACTACTATAACTGTTGCTGTCCCCTGACCACTTTGCCATTTTGGCTGAGAATGAAAACAAAACAAAACAAACAAAACTTTATCCTCTGACATCTTTTAATATTAAATGGTGATGACAGTCATCAGTTCACATGATGATGGGTTCACATCATCATCACAAGACTGTACTGTACTAAGGCACTTACAGAGGTCACAGGTCTGGGTCCCAGAGCTGCACGTCTTTATCTGGATTGTATTTTTATTATTTAATATTTAATTGATTTTATAAACTGAGGTAATACTGGTTTATATAACTGTTGGTATTTTGGAAGTACAGGACCCCTCCCCACTCTGGTGTCGCCATCGCAGTGCCCCCACCATCATGTCACCCACTGAGTCACTCTCTGGAGCTTTTGTTGCCTGATCTGTAAAACATGCAAAAATAAGCACACAAACTTACCTACCTCATAGCACTCTAGGAGCTAATAAAGTCCTGCAAAAAGTGGTTGACATACACGGGGCACTTAACAGAAATTACATGAAATTACTCCAAATACAATCTCAACTGCATGAAATTAGGAAGATAATGAAAAGTGGACTTGGAGTATTTTTGGAAATATTAACCAGGTAAACCAATCAACTTCATTTACAAGTGGGATCTCCATGGAATAAATATAGAAATAAAACAAAAAGGACTCCTATTTTTAGGAAAGACACCTTTCAGAATTATTTAACCAGGTCTTATTAGTAAAGAGGTAATGGATGACATACATGTTGAAGAAAGCAGGATCCTATTTCACTTAAATGAGGTTCCTCTTTATTGTACTGTTTCTCAAGGTCTTTCAGAAACTTTCTTTGGAATTTGTAAATATCTTCAATGTTTCCAAAAATGGTGGCTAGTTGTGCAACAGTGAACATTCCTGTGTGCTTGCGACACTGTCGAATATAGCCCTGAAAAACAGAACACTTTTGAAAATTAAGAAATTATTTATTTGAATAATACAGTTATGAGGGCCCAAAGGCATTGCCTTAGATTGGAATATAATCAGAGAAAATTACTTTAACTTTCACGGGTCCCTGATAGTATAATCACACCTCTATGACTATGCTATCTACACACGCATATTTTCATAACAAAAGGTATGTGTGGTCAGATTTATAATTCAAAAGCATTTACAAATAATATTCATGAATCAAATTGCTCAGTTCAGATATTAGAGTTCAAAAATCAATATTGTCACAATCTTCCTAAACTCTAAGATAATTATTCTCCCCTCCCTAATTCCACCAGAGGACTTATCCAATAGAAAATGCCATCCTTTGCTCAACAGTTCATGCAGCTCTCCTCTCCGCTGTGGCAAAAGACCAAGAACAGGCTACCATCACCTACTCTCTATATAAAGCATCAATCTTTAACCCCAGATCTGCACTAACTAGAGTGTGATGATATGGTTTAGGAGGAGTTAATGAGATAGGAAAGTAAGGTCATAAACATGCATAGAAGTTATTCCCTGTTAGCATAATTAAACAGACTGAACTGACTATAGAGTTATAGACACACTGTTGACTACTGGGTATGAGTTTTAACAGAAAGACAGTGTGAACGTTCAGAGTATAGGCCCCTGGAGCAGACCTTCTGATTTGAACTCCAACAATACCACTTAACTTCTCCATGCCTATATTTGAGAAACAGAACCTGCCTGGTGAGTGTTGTCTTTGACAAGTTAATTCAGTAAAGGCATGGGGCATAGTCAATGCTCAACAACAATTAGCAATGACTCCTCTTTTTCTAAAATGCCACTTTAGAGAAATTCTCTTAACCATGTATGTATACAGGATAAGGTGTTTATGCGCACAAGTATGTTGAATATTAATTGTTATGTCTTTATCTGGCCCAGTTATCCTGTTATAGAGTGGGCAATTGTCTTGCTTCAGCAGGTCTTGGGAACGAATTGTCAGTTGGACCGAGAGTAACAGCTGAGTCATCAGATGCGCAGACAACAATTTAGTGTAATGAGCACGCATACTTCATAAAAATGAGAACTGTGTAAAGTAAAATTTACTGTAGAGTATACTACTATGACAGTGTAGAATGAGCCTGGAGTATCATTAGATAAAACCAATTTTTTCTGTCTGGTCTAAATAATTGAGTTTCAACTGTGACTCAGCAACAGATGTAGTTGGCTATAGACATGACAAACTTTTGATGCCTTGTAAAGTCACGTAGATTAATTAAAGGGTGGCCTTCTGCAAAAGGCTAGCACTGAATAATCTCAGAAGCTAAGTCCTAAAAGACAGGGCTGCAGTGTCCTAAAATGTAGCGTGGCTGCAACACTAAGTCAGAGAGGTTTCTGCACACCAAGGAGACAGCAAGCAGCAAAAGTGTGTAAGTAAGGTCCTGGGTCCAGCAGCTCACCTCACAGATGTCTTTGAGGTGCTTAATGTACACCCGCTCGGTGTTCATGATCTCCTGGATGACATTGGTCCTCATCTGACGTTTGCTCTCAGAGTGTTTGTGGCGGGTCTTGTCAGCATCCTCCTGCTCCTCACCCTGGGTGCTGCTGGAATTCTCTGACAGCTCTTCTTGATTGACTCGCAACTGCAGGGAGCAGACACGGGGAAAGATGATTTGGGGAAGAGGGGGAAGCATCCCTGGTTTCCAGTTCTTCGTGCCAGTCAGGAGGGCAGCCCCGCTCTCGCCTGTCTTTTTGTATCAGCAGAGTCACACCACGCCAGCAGCAATGCCAAACACCTAGTTTATCTCAGAAGTTTTCCTGTGGTCCAATCTAATTTCTAGGAGGTCTGATTAAATTAATTAGAAATAACTAAGTGAATATAGAATGAGTTTTAGCCAAAACAATTCTACTGTTCCCCCAGAGATAGTTGTGAAAAGCGGAAGGTGCCACACACGCACTCTGACAAAGCTTGCAGGGAACCAGGCTTCCTTGTCCTCGTTCCGGCCCCACCACCAGTCCTTGTTGGAGGCTTCTAGAACTTGGATGACATCTCCCGCCTTGAAGCCCAGTTCCTGGTCATCCATCGTCACGTGGTCCCACAGGGCTTCAGCACAGACCATGCTGCCATCGCTGATCAACTGAAATGGAGACACTAATCAGTCTTAGTGCAAAAACCAGGTGGGCAGAGCAGTATGGGAGACATTATGTGCTTTTTCAGGATGACATGCTCATCGTCTGGTTCTCGCTTGTACACACTGACGGCTTTTGCTCTTGACTCTTACACAAAATGAACAAAAAACACAGAGGCAAAACAAAACCTGGCAGCCCTCTCCCACAAGCTCTTAAAGTAAATCCTAAGCCGCTTTAAAAAATAATGTATGGGCCCTCCCTAGTGGCGCAGCGGGTTAAAGCACTGCATTGAGAAGCTAAAAGCCACTTCCGCATGAGTTCGATTCCCGTCTGCCCTGGAGGTGACCACATGGCGTGGCAGACCTCTCCTGACCCACCCGCTGCTCCCCTCAGCAGTGTACTTCATAGATCTGCCTGTTCTGCTCCCCTCTCTGTCTCTGGTGAAGCCTCTCACCACCCCTGAGCCTCTGGCCTGTATCCCAGTTCTGTATGTACAAATAAATAAATCTTTAAAAAAAAAAATAATGTATGATTAGCTCACTTATCTGTAGGTAAGTTATCTATTAAATAAGGATATCTGCAATATTCACCCCAAATATGGTTTCTGAGCCTCCAAATTGGATATCACAGACATAAGCTCCATCTAGATAAGTTGTGCCATACATTCTTTACTGCAAGGCCCTCACAGATTAACCAGAACTTACTCTTCATTATGTTCTATCTGAATAAGCTTTGTGTCTCACTTTACAGTTTAATTAAGGAGAACACAGCAAGATCCCTGGATATTAATTGTTAATTAAAAATGGAAAGAATAGGGCCCTCCCTGGTGGCGCAGCAAGTTGAAGCACAGCACTGAGAATGTGGGGCCACTTCCACATGAGTTCGATTCCCACCTGCTCTGGAGGTGACCAACATGGTGTGGCAGACCTCTCCTGGCCCGCCCGCTGCTCCCCTCAGCAGTGTACTTGGTTGATCTGCCTGTTCTGTTCCCCACTCTGTCTCTGGTCGGGTCTCTCGCCGCCCCTGGGCCCCTCTCCTGTACCCCAGTTCTGTGTGCACAAATAAATAAATCTTTAAAAAAAAAATGGAAAGAATAGAGACCACTCATATATTTGTTGGCTGTGGGCAGATGGTTGACTCAGATCCCCTCCGCAATGGGTACATTAACTCAACAGAAGTTATATTCCATATACTTTGTTAATGAGCTCCAAACACTAGCGGCACCCTTTAGAAAGACTTTCATATAAAGGGCTGAAGATATAGAATGGTAGAAAAAAACCACCAGATTTCTTACTACAAATATGTGGTTAATTCCAGCTGTCATCTACTAAAATGTTATGCAACCCTCTCATTATAATTGTGGACAAACACTGATCCCTTAGATGGCTTATGAGGTTTACAGGAGCTAGTGGGAGGAAGAGCATTTCATAAACTGAAAGGCAGGACCCAAACATGAAACTGCTGTTACTATTAAGTGGGGTGAGCTTCAGTTACCTCAAAAAACTTGACACATATATTGCCTTTGAAAATGCTACAAAATCCATCTATAGTCTGTTTTTCAAATTAGAGTCCAAAGTTTTAGAATATATCAGAGAGCAAAGTCTAGAGTGATACCGGACCCTGAAAATCAGGGGTTCAATATTCACCACTGTTATGTATGATCCTAGTACCTCGTTGATGGCCAGCTGCTCCCCGCCTGGCTGGAGGTATCTGGGGTTGGCCTGACAGAGGTCTTCATAACTGTAGTCCTCTTCACTGCCGTTGTCATCCACTAAGGCAGAAGACTCAGTACCCCCATCTGAAGAAACTAAAAAAGAAAAAAAGGCAAGTGATGTTATAGTTTAGAAGGCACAGCTTACCAAAAATTTATAATGACAAACTAATTAACTTTTGAGATCCTATCCCCATGGGAAAGTAATCGTTAGAAAACGCCTGTGATCTGTTATTAATTCAAAGGTAGCAATGTATGCAATTGATGTTAAGGACAGGAGTTCAGTAGCCATTAAAAGAGGAAGGGGTATTTCAGAGTACTATCAATGTCAAACACAGTGTTTCTTTATGAGTTAGGATACTGAGTGAACAGGTGCAACTTAGTTGATATCAAAATGTAAATATAAATTACTATGTCTCTAAGCAATGTGTTGACAGATTTAAAGAGTAAAATCATCATTTTGTGCCATCTCAGTTGTAATCCCCTTGGGCTTCCCATCACCAAATCACCTGTGTGCCATCACCATAGTCCAGGGCACTTCCTTCCCCCCCACCGACTTTGATCCCATTCCCTACTCCACCCCTGTAAAATGTCTCCGGTATAAAGTTGCTCATTATTATTATTACTTTCTCCTTTGGTCTTTTATACTCCTGCTATGAGTGAAACCATTGATATTTTTCCTTTTCTTTCTGGCTTATTTCACTAAGCATGATCTTTTCCAGCACCATCCATGTTGCTGCAAAAGGCATGTGTTTATTTTTTTTTTTGGTTGCTGAGTAATATTCCATTGTGTATATGTACCACATCTTTTTTTTTTATTTTTTTTTTAGTGGGTCTGTTTTTTTTTTATTAAAAAGTTTATTTTTACATCATTTTGCACTTTTTTTTCATCTCAATTGTAATCCCCACGGGTTTCCCATCACCAAATCACCCCTGTGCCACCACCATAGTCCCGTGCATTTCCCTCCCTTC